GAGTGTGGTGTAATGCAAAACTGCCGGAGGGCCTGCCACACCTTTTTCGCAAAGGGCTGATTGCTGATATGCAAGCATCCAGGGCCTTGACTTGTTTTCGCGAAGCCACTATGTCCCTAAAGTAGATTACAGACAAGGTGCATGATGACTGCACCTATGTTGGCTGTGACGAGCTTCACATAGTTTCCATTTGTCCTAGGAATGAGATCGGCGGCAATCTCAGAAGTCAAATGCAGTAATTCCAATCGGTTGAAGAATGCTTTTGGGTCCATGCCAAAGCTCAACCTCAGAATAGCCTGGCACCTCGTGATTGCAGTCGAGAATCAGAGGAAATGACCACAAATCCTCCCAAATGTCTCTGCCATTTGGATGGTTCATGAAGATCGTCGCAAAAAAGAACCTGAGGAGCGAGGAAAGAGACAAAGGCAGTCTCAGGAAAAAGATTTGTGGGCCAAACCCAGCACGAAAACTAACTAATGCTTCTTGTTCCTGGTAGCGAACATTGCTCCTAGTAGTACGGCCAGGAGCCCCTAGTAGCGTCCTTGCTCCTTGCTCCTAGTAGCGATGACTATTTGCGTTCCAGGTGACACCTGTAAAATACCCATGGCCAAGCCCATCTGCAATGCTTAAAGCCGACAAACGGTTCAACTGGTCGACAGTTCTCTTGAGCAGAACATATGCGCGTGGCATGTGTGTAGTATAATCTATACGTATCTTGTATATAACTTTTATGACACAAAACCCTGTAGTAACAAGCATCCTAGGCCTATCTTAGCATCCTTGTATCAAATCGCAAAATGTTTACAATTCAAGACCTGCGCTTACAGACCTTAAAATTAAGCGATGGCCTCCAACCTAGTAGCGATGGCTTCCACCCTAGTGGCCTGCTGCTCCTCCATGTTCCCTTTTTATCTGCTTCCATGCCACTTCCACTTTTGTCACTCAAAGTCGCCTTCTCTGCCACGGCATAGCTGCCTGTCAATGCCAGAAGCACCAAAGCCAGCGCAAAGAGTGTGCTTGAGACCTCGGCAAAGACCGTGATCGAAACAGGATCTCGCGCAGCTTTTCGCATTCATTTGAGTGCGAACCGAAAGCGGGATCTCCCAACAGGCCAGCAAAGTTTGACCAAATACTGTCAATTCCTCGGCTGAAGAGTCGCATGCTTGCTTCGTGGGCACACACCAGTGTCACTGATGTTACATACTTCATGGACTTCGCAGCTAGCAAAATAAAATAATCGTTAGTATCGCTTTAAAGGGCCGATTTGGTCATACGGCGCTTCACATCCTTTTTCCTGCGCACTTCACTCAACAGCTTGGCTGCTCATTGTCGCTG